AGTCATTTGCAAGTGGGTTATTATCACTTGAAGTTTCCTTCTTGGTATAGTTTTTTCTGTATCTCTTCATAAAATTGATATTATACTTTTCTTTTAAGATTCGGATCAACCTTTATCGTAACGAAAACATTAGTAATCGGATATGTAATTCTTCAAATTTGTGTACATTTCTTATAAATAAAAATAGTTACCTGATGTGCGTAATTTAAACTTTCACAAGTTAATTCGTACAAGAGAATCGATCCAGTCATTGAATAATTATTTTTAGAGACAAAGAAATTATGAACATAACTCTATTACTATTTGTTTCAGCAAAGTAAAAAAGTAAATTTAATTGTGTATATATATATATAATACAGTATATATACATATATATATATATATTACAAAGAAAATAAATAACTTTTACGAATGAGCGTCAAGTAAACAAAAAGTAGTAATTAAAAATTACTGTATATTTATATATTTATATATGATAATATGATGCAATTATTGGCTTTGTTCTATAACAAACAAATTTAAGTTTTATATCAATACATATGAAGTTTAGATCCAAATCTGACGAATGGGCTTAGTTGCATACTTTATACATTTATATTCCTGATATAAACTGATAAACAGGTTTTTACTTGAGAAAAAAAAATTTCTTATCGGAAGTAGACTCCGCGAAAATTCATGAAATGTTGCAGTTTTATTGTAAATAAAAATATATTCTCATTAGTACTTCGTTACAAAAATGTATTTTTTTTCTTTTTTTTTTCTTTTCTCTTTTTTTTTTATTAATTAATTTAATTAGTGTATAAATTAAAATTCGGTAAAAACTAAAATTCGGTAAAAACGGTAAATTACTGTATAAAATTAATTAAAATTCAGGAAAACGGTAAAATACGGGAAATAATTATTCTGGGAATAAAATGAATTATCTAAAAACGTATTAAATTAAAAAAAAAAATTTTTAGGTTTCGTAACATATTATAATTTTTTCGTTGTTCTCCTTCAAATACCCATGTATACAGGTTTTTTTTTTTTAGATGTTGTTATACTGGTTAAATTACAGGTTTATTTTTAAGTTGTGATTAGATAACTTGATAACGAATTTTTTTTTTTTTTTTTGTGTTTAGGGATATATCAAATTACCACGTGCACCAGGCGCATTTTTGGTGTAATGATGGAAGGGGGGGAAGGTAGAGTTCGTTGAATTTCGGTAATAATGGGGATTTTTTTTTAAAAAAAAATTAGTTAATTGGTTTTTTTTTACATATACTTCGCTATAGTTTTACCCAAAAAATCTACATTCACAAGCTCCCAATACTACAACTTCTAATTATATGATTGTAATTTACTAGTCAAGATAATTTGCCGGCTATGAACAAACTGTTTTAGGCAGGACAACATAAGAGCAATTCACGCGTTTAAAAAATTATGAAGGCGAGTGTTTTAAAGTCACAAAGTCACAATAGTATTAAATAATGCGTGAAATTAATTAAAATTTATTTATTATAGATCTTATAATTGGTAGTGATATAAAATTTTCCAACAAGAGTCATCTAATATAACAGATTTATCATCAAAAAAAAGGCGTTTGTCAAAGATGAAAGATATAGTTTAAAGAGTAGAAGTTATCAATCTCCGGTTTGGGATACTTTCGATACTTTCCAAGAAAAATTAATTGTATTATACCATGAAAAATGGAATCATCAAGATCAAAAGTTGCACGTAAACCAACTAAACTGAAAGCAATACAGCCTTCAGGAATATCCAAGATCAAACGGTTCTAAAAATGATATTTCGTGGTATATGTATTAATTTCCAAGGACAACTAATTATCGAGGATCAAGGTATATATAAAGAAATTCGTTTATGAATTAGCATATAATAAGGTTCGGATGTAATACTTAACTTCAGAAATCTTACTACTCATAGATGCTAAGGCGATGAAATCGTTTCACATTCTATCAACCTTATTTTTAAGTTCATTCCAGCTCTATTACTTCCATTGAAACAACTTTTATTAGCAAATCAAAAATTATCCAAGTAATCCAACGAATTACAAATCTCATGGTATGAATGATGATAATTAAAGCAATGTCTCTTGTTGGCAAAAGTTTAGCATGAAATTCATTCCTCTTCTATAACGTCAGTATTTCTCTAGATCATTAAAAGAAATTGGACAACAAATTTACGTGAGCGTATGTATGAATGATAGAGAATTGATGCATTTCATCAATCAAGATATCAAGAAGTGCATATTACTAACATAAACTGTGATGAGATGTAGCCAAATTTATTAGGTAAGCATTGTTTAATTTCGAGATTCATGATGTTATTATAAAGAGAAAAAAAATAATATTATTATTCTTTATTTTCCTTAGTATATCAAAGCTCGCGTGGTCGGTGGTCCTCTACAGATTTACATTTATATTGGATGGGCGATATTACTTTCATAGTCGATATTGTTACATGATTCCCGAATCTGTTGAAAATTTTTTTTTTTGATTCTGTTCCTAAAAATAGAGGGGTGGTTTAAGGTATATTTTTTTTAAAAAAAATTATAAATAGAACTTTTCAAGTATCTCCTTATTAAACAACTTTCTTCCTTTCACGATTTTCACGATTCTTTTACCTAAATTAAATTTTCAATCTCCGGCTTCACACATCGCTTGGAAAAGCAGAACGTGAAGACAATTAGGATAGAGATCTACCTCAAGAAGGACCTGTGAAAACAATCAAAAAAGAAGAAAGTATCGCCACAAGTAAAAGCCACATTACGTTATATGGTACGTGGCCCTGCTAATGAAAGGAATTCCGTGACGAAGAATCAAGGCACAAAGGGAGATCGAATGAGTTTGATAAATAATTCAGTAATTCAGTAATTTAGAAATTTCATGCCCGTTTATAGCGCTAATCTCCAACATTGGTTATAATTATTAAAATAGGCAGCATATCTTATCAAGCATAAAATACAAAATTTAAATAAAGTTTTGTGATGTAGTTCATGATACGTATTTTTCAAACAATATTTTCGTTCTATACATAAGTTTCAAAACTTTTTATTCATGAATTATACATATTATAAATTTTTTATCTCTCTTCTTAATAAAAATCAAATTTTTTAAAGGTTGACGTTATTTCGTTATTTGAATAAATGAATAAATGATCCCTACAATAATCATTCCAATAACATATTGGAACGTGTTATAAGATGAAATAAGAATATTCTAATTTATTCTTATTTGAGTTATGTAAAATATAAAACTTGGATTAGCATGTGTTTAATTTAATTAGTTGACGCGCATCTGACGCAGCTGACGCACATCGATTATCAACTGACGCAGATCGACACCTGAGCCCTGAGGTACAACGTATATAATAAAAACTTGAGCCCTGAGGTACAACATATATAATAAACTTGAGCCCTGAGGTACAAAATATAATTTAAAATAATTATAAAAAGGTTGGCACAGTAATTACACAATCCATAATCTACCCCTTTTTAACGTATTATTTGCAAATTAGTATAACAATTAGAGAGTAAAATATACATAATACGGCATATCACATGATTTATTAGATAATTATTAAAAAATACTCTCATACGTCCGGAATTGTAAGAAAAAATCTTCTCGCAATTATCTATTTGCGGTATTTCATTGTTTATTCCAATCAATTAAAAATGCTTAGATAATAGTCCTCATTTATACGAAATATATCTAAATATAGGTAATTATTGAAATTTCCAATCCTTTTTCTAAGAAAAAAAATTATTTTTTTTTTTGCTTTTGTGTTTTTGTATCCCGAATTTGGGATTTGGATTATCTTTTATCTACTTCCAATAAAATAATAAAATTATTATATACTTGATTTATACACGTATAAAAATTATTATAATGTATACAATTACATTATATAACTTTATCACACATGTTATCTCTTTGATTTGACAGGTAATTATTTCCGTATATATCTTGAAAGACTTGTTCTATGTATCCCCATGACCCATTCTTGTTTTGATCTTATGATTCCGTGTTTACTTTTTTTTGAAAGAAGAACAAAGAATTCTTTTATAAAGAGTATTATTGAAATTATTTATTTACGCCAACGATCGTATAATCATTACTCTTTTAATCCTCACAATCCCTTTATCATGATGCTGCGCAAACTCAAATTTTATATTTAAAAGCAGCCATCATCAAGCCTTAAGAAAAATCAGTAAATTGTGTTGTATAGAAACAATATATGATTATGATTAATTAAAATACAAAAAAAAACAAAAAAAAACAAAAAAAACCCGGTTAGTTAAACGAATTAATTAAGTTTCAAATCGCGAAAAATATCACTAATTTTTTTTTTTTTTATTTTATGTGTTTTTTTTTTATATGTATTAAGCTATGTAGTTTTTTTCAAAAATTAATCCCTTGATATATAATATAAATCTCTCCATTATTATGAATAAAATAAAATTAAGATTATTTTAAGATTTAAATCAACTGGTAATTTCCTTCAGGTTTATTCATTTTCAATATTCAATTTCTTAAAAAATTACAATTTACAATACACACAGTACTACTGTACTAGCCGTTGTGAAATAAAAGCTTGAGCGCGAACCAAGTCACGATGTTAAAAATAATGGTCACGTGCAAGTTTCGATCATCCGTTAGATTTTAATTGCATATGATAACCGTATACATATATTAAGCACCCCGGCCAGAATTATGAAAATTTTGGCCTACGTTATGCCCATCATTACGGTCAAAAAAAGGGTGCTTTGTGTTTACATAATTCACAAAAATCCATTGATTCTTTAATAAATAAGGTATTGAAATTCTTTTAATAGTATTTAACAGTTAAATACTTTTTATCTACTTATTATATTTATTTATATTTAGGCTAAAAAATATCAAATAAAATATAATGAACTTTTCGTTTTTTGTATTATTTGATATTATTTCTAAAAGATAATAAATTTTTTTTGCAAAGAATGTATGTATGATAAAATGTAATTTGGCTAGTTATGTTTATTATATATGTACAAGTATATAAAATGTTCTTTCTTCTCCCAACAACATTAGAAATCAGAGAACTTTATATTTACATTCATTCTAAAAATTTTACAATAGGGGTCGGAGCCGGAATCCATGGGAAACCTGTAGTATGGAATTTGAAGATCGATAGTTATATTTTTAACATACAAATGCGACGTATTGATTCAGCAAGGGACAAGCGAAATTTACTTACTTTCACTAATTTCTTGAAGCGGCGGCCGCTGTAGAATGAAACGGATTTTAGGTTGTTTTAAATCGGTGGATAAAGATGATGAATGATTTATTTTACTGTAATAAAAAAAAAAAAATTAACATGTTTTATAAAATGAAAATAAAAAAAAAAAGTTGTTTCATTACTTTTCCTGAAATTCTGAACCGCTTTGAAGTTCACCCGATTCAATTTTCTTGTTCTCTTTTAAATCATTTTTTTGGGATTCGGTTTTCGATTTCAGATCGTTAGATACTTCCTCGATTTTTAAAAAATCGAAATCTTGGGATCTTCCCGGAAGATCGTTGAATAAAGATGAGTTTTCCGGACTTGGTGGAGGCGTACTGCACGTACTGCAATAAAAAAAAATTACCAAAGATAAATGTATACTTACTAAAATAAAAATAAAAAAAATTCATTACTGCTCATGAGGAGGAGTAGATGGTTGAGTATCCATTATAAAATAAAATAATATACAACGAAAAAAATAGAAACTAAATATAGACGGTTAAAATAATTTCTTTATGAGTAAAAAAAGTATTGAATTTGAAAAAAAAAAAGTTTCAGAGTTGAAACGAGCGGAACGAGCACCATTTATATATACAATCAATGCCGCCTTGCCGCGACGCGACGCGGTTGAGTCACATTGTCTTTTGTTTTACTGTTTTTTACATAAAATCATGAAATCTAACTATAAATGATTTTTTTCACTTACTCAATTTCTAAAAAAATATATCAATCTTGTTTTGCGTAATGGTTTACTATTTTTATTACGTATTTTGTCATACCGGAGTGCCTCGTTCACGTTGCTTATATTTAATCGTGTATCACACTAAATTCGTGATGCATTTCTTTAATAGTTAGTGATGTTAGTGATCGGGGACTTATTTAACGCCGTTCTCGATAATTTTGTTCTTTATTCAAAAAACAAATTTTCATAATGAACGATTTAAAAAATTTAAAACTAAAGATTAGTATAGGAACATCATAACTAAAAGTAGAACATAGAATAGTACTTCCAAATGATGATTCACATCCATATCTAATTAATACAGTTCATTTTACTGGAAGAATATCAATATGTATTCGTATAAAAGATTTTAAAGGAATAACACCATCAGGTACAACAAGAATCGAGACAAGTCCTTATTTTGAAGGATATAATGTTAAATATTCTATTCAAGTACAAGGAAGATTTAAAGAAAATAATTTGACAGCAGACGACATTGATTTTGGTGTAAAATATCTGTTTTACAATTTTCAAACATCATTTATAATCACAACATTTACTGAATAATATATTTTTTTCTTTAGAATGATTTTGATAAAAAAAATAAATTTGCCGTCGGGATCATCTTTAGGATTAAAAATATTTCAACACCCATTGGCATATAATCCATTAATTTATATAATGAACAAAATTAATTTATATGAAGAACAGATTTTCAAAGATGATAAATGGTTGCCATCATGGCCTTCTTCAAATGGTGAACATATTGAGGAGGACGTAAACTGTCCAAGTGTAAAATTCAAAGTTGTTTCCGAAAGAAAAAAAAATATTTTGAGAATGAGACAAACAGGAAACAATTTCAAATTAAAGATAATCAAATATGGTATTTTGATTTCTCTAATTCCGTCACAGATTTTAATGACTTAACTGTAAAGGTAATTATGTAAATTTTTTATTATTTTCATTTAATTAATATATAATGAACACATTTTTTCTTTTATAATTACCTGGATTTAAGCTTGGAGACCTACAACATTGGGAAGGCCAGGTAAATGAATATTTTTTTAATTTTATTTAAACTATATTATTAAAGTTGTATCTCACATTTTTATGTAAAATCTAGCCTGTTCGTTATGTGTGTAAAACACGCGACTCTTCGATTGTATCTTTTATTGTTTCTTTCAAATTGGTTCTTATTAAAGAAGAATCAAATGAAATTCAAAAACCGGCGCAAGGTAGCATAGCAGCAGATGGAGCAGTAAATTATAGCATGTTTTCTATTTTATTACATGAATTTTGCCGATCATATTTCGATTTTATCACTCGATATAAAATGAAAAATTACCTTTCAATACATTCTTAAATTTTGACAATAAATTCATTCTATAATTGTATATCAGATATATTTTTATTAAAATTGAATTATTACTAATAACTTTCATATGTAATGATATTTTAATTAATGTAACTATACATTTTATTAAACATAAGTGTTTGAAGAATTTAAAATTATACATAATGACTATATCTCATATTATCCGAATTAATAAATGTTAAATTGATATACCTGTATTTAAAATTTCATCAAAATTAAGAGGCAAATTGAACTTAATGTGCTATAAATGTACTAAAATTAAAATCAAATACAATTCTTGAAATAAAATTAACATACATGTAAGCTGAATGGATGATTTTACATTTGTTTGAAAGAGGAAAATAAGGCCTATCTGATAAATTAAAAATTGCATTAATTGGTTTACTGGATAATGAATAAATACATCTCAAATACATTCATTTAATTTAAGATCAATTCTTAATTTTGATCATTAATTTTCTACATCTAATAATTCAATTTGCATGATTTTTGATCCCAATAATTAAAGTCTGTTATTAACTTTTAAATGAATGTATAATTATTTGATTATCATGCATATATGCTGAAAAATTAATGAAAATATCATAATAATTATAAATTATACTATTTCTTACTAATAAGCACTTCTACTAAAATTCTTCTATTTTATCTTGAAAAACTTTACTTAAAGTTTTTAATGTAATAAACTAATGAAACTTAAAATATCTTAAAATAAAATAGAAATATGATATATATATTAGTTTATTAAAGAAAGAAAAATCTTTGAATTTTATATACTAAAAATAAAACTTACTCTTTTATTTTATTTTATAGAAAATATTGGTCAATGCATTTGGCTTTTTCTTTTTATTTATTGTTAATTGTTATGAAAAAAAACTTTAAAAAAAACAAAAAAAAAATCAGTTGTATTAAGTGAAATAATATCAAATAAATAAAAATAACCATAAAATAAATATATTATCATTTTACAAGGAATTTCATTATACTTGTAACTTTTGAATTACCTTCTCAATATTTAAATTATTCTGCAAGTTGTTTAAGAAGAATATGAAATATTAAAATATATATGCTATCTGTACTATTAAATTTTTTGTGATCCAATTAATTTAAAGGAAAGCAATATCATATTTTTAAGTTTTGTGTAATATTTCAAAATTTAGTTAGTAAAAATGTATATCACTATAATAAATTATTACCCAATTAAAAATTATGCAAAATTACAAGATTTAATTTGAAATTTTTAATTTAATTTTGATTATTAGTATATGTCACTTCTTTTTTTATTTTATTTATTTTATTAAATATACAAAAGATTGGTAAAGTGATTAATATTATAATAAAATAAAAGCCTACTACTATACTGATATTACTAGAATAATAACACCAAAATTTTCACTTTTATGTTATATTATATAGCAATATTTATTTTAGAAAAAAAAATAACAAAAAGAAAAAAATAAAAATCCCATATTTTCTTTAAAATATTAAAATAATTTTATTGTTTTTATTATAAGAACATTTAAAAATGACTCTTTTATACTTTATTAAATTTAATAAATAAATAAATATCCACTTTTTAACAAAAATAACTTCAAATATTAATATTATTGTAAAAATACTAATTATTCCATAAATATTCAGGATATCTTGATAAAAATTAATATTTGAGTACTTCTGTACCTGCTGAATAACTTTATTTAAGCTTTTGATACTTATTTAATTTAACTAAAGTATTAAAATTATGCTATAAAATTGAAAAATAATATAAAACAAATTAATTTCATAAAAAATTCTGTTTATTTACAAATATCTCAGTAATTTTAATAAATAAAGGTTTATATTTTTATTCTATTTAATTTCAAGACTTTTATTTATTACTAAAGTATTAAAATTAATATTATTTAATATTATAAAATCTAAAAAAAAAATAAAACATATAAAATAATTTTTATAATAATATTTTATATTTAACTTTTCAAAAATATGATTTTTTATTGTTTAATAGGTTTTTAAAACATTATTTTAATCAACCTTGTGTACAAATCTTGATCCATCAAAATATACAACTATATGTAAGTTGATGCATTCCTTTTTTTGTATTAATTGTATTAATCTTGATCCAAATACATAATACAGTCAACTCTCTCTATAGTCACTTCCGTTATAGTCACATTCTACTATATAGTCACACCAGTTGAATGTTCAAAACACTTTACAGTCGGCTCTCGATATAACGAAGTTGGTGGTTTGGCCAATCAGGCCTTCGTTATAAGAAAATTCGTTAATAAAATATAGCGAATTTCGATATAATGGGAAAATCTGGTATAACATATGAAACTTTGGTATATTGTGGTATATTATGATTTCTTATGTTATGTACAACGTATGTTATACAAAATATCTTCGTTGTATTAAAAAAAGTTCGTTATAAAAAGAAATTCGGTATAAAAAGAGTCATTTTATTATGTACAGTTTATAGACTTACTTCGTTAAACGGTATACAGCATTTTATTAGTAATATTTGTTATAGCAAATTTTTTTTTATATGTTAAAATTGGTACAACACTAAAGATTCGTTATACCAAATAATTCGTTATATCAAAATTCGCTATAACGAGAGCCGACTGTATTATTAAAATCTATCCTATATAATCACAATCTATCTATAGTCACTATCACACCTATCCTCAAAAATCTTATATTAAAAAAAACCGTTTATAATCACAGTTATATAAAGAATATATTAAATAACTTGGCATCCAATAATCGTACAAAGATGTATTATAGCTTGTTAGAATTGTCTCACTGAGACGAATTGAATGGTGGTAGTTTTATTCTTTTACAATCACTAACCAATGAGTTATTCAACAAAATGTTAAGTATCAGCATTATTATATTTCTTGATTTATATTTACTGCACCATTTAACATTTTGCTAAATTTAGTGATTGTAAAAAGATGATTAATAGCTCGTTGGAATCGCTGAATCGAATGGTAGTAAGCTCATTTCTTTGTGATCAATATTGACAGAGTTACTACTTAAAAACCATTTAATATTTTTTAATTTTAGAAATTGATTTAGTGATTGGATTTCGATGTATTTTATACCATTAGAACTGTCTCATCAAGACAAATCGAATAGCAGTAAAATCATCTCTTTACGATTAATATTAGCAAAGTTACGACACAATAAAGTTTTAAGTATAATTTTGGCCAAAATTATGTTAATTTTTGGCTGGAATTATAATATACTAATATAAGAAATTTTTATATAGTCACATCTCTTTATAATCACCAAATATGGACTGTCCTAAATGTGTGACTATAAAGAGAGTTGACTGTATTTGAGTGTGATATTTGTAATATTTATAATGCAAATAGTAATGCAAATTCATATTGTTCAAATTATTTTGGGCTA